AAWWKACWMTRKTYAMWAWWAWWTMAYWATMWYAWKTMMWAGACAATATTTAATAAAAATWCCATYTAYAATAAGCGAACTCGGAGTACCTACAACATATTATTATTATTCAGATGTATAATGGCCATTGAGGTCTGAGCATCTTCACGCCACTCACGCAGACATGACTTATATACTTTTATAATGATCATAATCGAATTAAATAGAAATAAAAGTCTAAATATCATTATAATTAAGTAGGCATTGATGAAATTGCCTTCAACTATATTTATTAAAACTACCAATACCTGTCGTGAATTTCTGACAGTATACTTGCAATAGAATACTGGTTAAAAAAACACATCGTGCCGTATAATTTTAAYTATCCATCATCCGCCTCATAGCTATAACTAAATAATATAATATAAGTAATAATCAGATTATTTTTTAGACTGCAGTAATCACTTTACTGGTGGTACGCAGAGCTGCAGCTGATGACCAAAACGATGTTGCCGTATATGGAAATGAATACAGTACCYATTTTCTTCTATTACCTATCAATATTATTATAACACCAACCCGTAATTTGTAGTTTGACACTGTCCAATTAAACGTTTAATAAACAGCGACACGAATATAATATTAAATATAATAATATACTCTCACACGCGACGTATTAAATATAAGTCACGCGCGTGCAACAAGTTTGAAAATTATGAAAAATAGGCATTAATATTATATTATTGTGAATAATATTATTATGCATATATTATATCAAGTGAAATAATAAATGTAATAAATGTTCGGTGATGCAGCAATAGTGAGGTAAAGTCCGGGGACTTGCCTGGGTTTTACACAGAGATTAAGAAACAAGACAAGTCCAAAATTCAAATCAATGTTATTTCCGTTTATATTGAACCGACTTACTTAGTTCTTAAAGCTATGTGTGTATAATTTTTCGATTTATTTGAAATAGTTAATAACTACTTTTCCAAAACACATGGACTTGTCTGGTAATTGCACTGAGCTTTTCAATTATGAAAAAAAATAGGTTTTTTTTCAGTACCTACCTAGATTTTGAGTACACTTAACTTGTAACCAGTCTAAAGTCTAAAGTCTAAAGTCTAAAGGTGTGAAAATAAATTCTATGTGTTCCAATCACAGATGCGTAGATAATAAGGTGAATTCGGAGACTAATCAGGTCAACAGATTTAAAAACGGCACGAACAACATTATAAATTACCTATTTATTTCATGACTTTAAATCGCGGCCATTGAACTTAGGTAGGTACTTAGTTTTAAGCATTGTGGTTTGTTATTATAATATTTGAACTGTATTGTTATCTATTATTGATAAATTGTAATTGTGCACAATATAGCTTATTTTAAATATTACTATTAAAAATAAAATATTTTTTTTTTTTGTATTAAATATAAAGACCACGGAAGCTCTGGCCATTAGTCTGATAGCAACAACAACAAAAAAAAAAACTTTTGATTCATTAAATTATACATTTTTGATTTTCGCCATCATTATTTTATTGGTTTAGAGTTAAGATTCGTATTTGCATTATGATACGCCAGCTATTTAAATTATGAGTTTTTGGGTAGTTATTTCTTTTATTGAGCTACCCGATCCAGGTTTGTTTAAAAATGGGTCAATAGAAGTCTGCGCACGCCTTTGATGATGTATGAAAGCMCTGTACACATTTTTTGAGCCGGTACAAGTTCTGATCTCTGAGGATAAAAAACTACAGATCGAAACACTACCTACACAATAATAACGCAACGTCGATAAACAAAATGTATGTATTATGTATACTGTATACATATAATATAATAATAATAATATCAACGAGTATTGTTTTGAGAAAAAAAAAAAAGAACGTAAAGAAAGACTTAACATTATAAAATATTGTTAAAAAAGAAAATAATACGAAGAAGAAAAGTATAAGTGTACATGATGGAAAATAACGTAACGAATATAAGATAATATTATTTGCATATAATTATAATAATAGGTATAGGAAATTGGCTTCGATACGATGACCACGAGAATAACCACGGTATATTATTCACGTGTATGATTAACATTGTACCTATAAGTTATGTATTATAATTTTACAGATCGGGGGGTACCGATCATTTGACCGTGTGCCGATGCCGATGGACGTTTCTGAGTTTCTGGAGATTGGCCAACGTGGTCGCGTCGTCCGGCTGCAGTCGAAGCGCGTTCTTGTACGACCGTTCTGCCTCGTCCAACTTGTTGTTGATGTGAAGTATCGCTCCCAGGTTGCTGTGACTCGCCGCGTCCTGCGGGGAAATCATATTAGAACAATTAATAAACGATGATGAAATGTTTGTGTCATTCGTGTCGCTGGTGGGAATCACCGACACAGTAAAATTACAACTATATGTCTTTAGGGCTTTGAATTTAGATTTAATGCACTAGAAACGCAATTAATGAAAAAACGTAAATGTATTTAATCAAACAATTAATGTTGATTACGAAAAAAAAATTGATACCTTCGTTTGAAGCTCAATAAAAAATTATTCTTATTGAATAATATTTCTATAATTTTATAAATAATAATTATTAACTCTTTATACTGGGACCCGTCGCGAACAAACAAACTTTTATACTTTTTACTAAATAAACTAAAGTGTATAATTTTTACTATCATTAATAATAATAATGTAATKACTAATGTTTATTAAACTGTAGTTAAATATTTTAACAATAGAAAATTAAAGAACAAATCCAACCTATCAGTCAATGGCCCAGCTGTCGAAGCTTAGTCTTAATTTAAAAAAAAATCTTTTACATATTGAAATACTATTTTCTATACTGTGTTATATTGGTTTAAAAATTAAGTAAGCMAATCATTCATAGTTGAAGACATATCAATAAGATAAGTGCTATGTTAAAATGTTTTTAAAAATCGTTTACTACGTAAACTAATAAAACTAATAAAACAAAGTAATTTCATCACATTGAGGTACATATATTTCTGCATTATCCTATTTATACATTAAATATTCTGAAAACAAACAATAACAAATACTAAAAATGCACATTTACTGATTTCAATGAACTGTATTCGGAACTTTTCTATTTTACCAGATACTCTTTTTTTTGTCACAACGAATCTAAGTTAAACAAGCCGAAACGATGGTCAAGTCAAAATTTGGCGTCCAAACTTAGTTTTAAAGTTATGGAAAATTGAAATTAATTTAATTTGTTTTCTAATTTATTATGTACGACTTCCAAATTCTGGCTTCATCATTGTTTTCAGTATGCTTAATAAATACGTTATTAACAGAAAAAATGTATCCGGTAACACAGAAATATATCTTGTATTCAGTTATTTGCCTCACCTGGACAATTTTTTTTAATTTACCTAACATACGCGCTTATCTCGTTGATCGGTCAATTGTAATCCTAAATATATAATAAAAACAAAAATATCTCATATAGATGCATAAACTGTTTTTAACATCTAATTTACTCATTTGCCTATGTACTGTGTAATCTATTAAAATAAACTCATTTTGAATTTATCGTGGTTTTACACAGATTTTGCGCATTTGAGGTGCTTGAATCTATTTGTTTTAGTATCGGGGCCTCGAGCATACATAACTATAATTCCCAAGTTGATAGTGTTGATACTATTTATGTGATACTGAGTGTGATCGAAAAAAATATTATAATACGAAAAAATCTCGTATATTTTCTAAAAGTGTGCCTTGGATATATATATATAATTCTCCGAGTTTTCCGGTTTCCCGGTAATGTCATTTAAACCTTTAGGTATAATAAATAAATAAATATTATATATCATAAACTGAAGTCTGAAATCTATAATGCCCAGAGGCTGCAGCTAAATGACATAACATTTACTTTACCGTGGCGTAAGAAAAAAAACTTTCGACAAGATATATAATGTTATAATCCCCAAGGCACCTGTTGAATGATCAGAAACAGAATAATGTTTTATACGTCATTATATAAATAATTTATGTAGGTACCTATATATATTATTTGCTCATCGTCGAAAAAAAAAAGTAGAGACCTAATATCAAATAATTTAATATTCATATTACTATATTAAACGAGCCAAATCTGTCTTAACGCCCATCAGGTTGTTAATGGTAGCATTATTATATCAACTGTTATTAAATGATTTTTTATGCGCGTAACCATCATTAGGTAGGTTCATTGTCGACCGACACAGCATCGTTTATTCTTCCGCGCGCTAATCAAATATTATTCTATCATATCCATTTTAATCGTATTAAATCGTGCGTTTTTCGGACCACCGCATCGTGGCCGTGAGTTATTTATACGCGTGGCTTAACGCTGCGTCCACGGTTTAAGCGCGATTAAAATGGATATGCGAATTCATAATGAAATTCTTATTATTTATAATGATATCAAAGGCAGCTATTATATTTACATAATTAATATTCTCACGTGGGAGAAACCAGTCGTTGATCAAGGGAATTATTGTGGGGGGGAGGGGGTTAAATTCTATTTTATGATTATAATGTTAAATAATAGGTATACGATAGAACTGCACTGATGTATAGCTTTAATAGATTGTAAACAAATAGACTCTCAACTTCCATGCAGTATTAAAGTTGTCATCAAATTCTATTTTGGTATCTCAGTTTTTCACTATCATCATAATGTACATTAATGTGTCTATAATATAGACTCTATATCATCCTAATAATATTTTGGTCAATTACCTATGTTGTTTATTATAAACTATCGTTAGATTATGAAAAATAGTCAAATATATGTATATTAATCAAACAAGAAGATGTATATATTCTAGAATCTCAACAGGAAAATATGGAATAAACTGCAATTTACCTGATAGGTTGTTGCTATTTAAATCTGTTGAACTTTTAGGTACGTGTGGAATGTTAATAACGATTTTTTTAATATTTAGCGTGAGTTTGCATGCAATTTATTTTGGCGTGATATCATCCATTAGGTGGAAGGGAGTCGTATGTGACTTTAATCTCTACTCCATATATTAAAAATACTTATTTTCAAATTTTTTAAATTTATTATTTAGTATGTATTTTCACGGTCCCAAAACTCTATATTATTATATCTGTTATTGTTTCTACGAAATCCGTTCACATAATTCAGTTGGAATTTTAAAGTTTTATTTAACCAACATTTCGTATAACAGACAAATCATGCCCCCGGGGAACAATTTTCTAGATTAATAGTTCCCCAGTTAAAAGTTCCCTAGGATATTTATACTTCTTCGCTTCGAAAATCACATACCCGAGGCACAAGTATCCAATGAAAATAAATAATAATATTTCATTGGGGGTACAATAAACCTGTAAAAATTGTGCACACGATAATATAACTCTATAAGAGATTGAAATTGTTTTATTTGGGAGCTTAGGACACGTGGAAGTTAGGAGAACGGATTTTGCGAACCAACGGATTCCGATAATGTTTTGGAACCGGCCGTGCAAATACATACCAAATATTGCCATATTGTTTAAGAAATATTGCAAGCAAATGAAACTAAACATCTGAAAGTAATCTCACAAAATATTGATGAATATTTCTAGTCAATACGCCAAAATATGTGGGAAGGGTGGAAACTTGCACCCCCCACGACACTAGAAGAGATATGGGCAGTCAGAAAATGAGCAAGATAGAAAGCCATATAAGAGCTATCAAAGGTCGATTGTCTGCTGTGTAAACTTTAAATAATATATTAAATATTCATATATATACCTGATATTATGGTACGCAAGAACGAATGATTTGTGGATTCGGTTAATTTTTTATGATCGGTTTTCATTGAGGGTGTGAATATTTCTTTTACCTAATCGTTTTTAGATATTATATATTTAAATTAATAATATAAAAAGATCCCTATTTTTTTTTTTAAATGATTTTAATCTCGTAACGTGTGCGTATAAAGTTGTGTTGTATTCAAAGTGTATTATGAAATCCCTCCCGCGCTAACCCTATAATATCAGCCGTAAGCCATGCCGGGATTGAATTTTCCCATTTAAATTCGGCGGAGCTTGAAAAATGTCAATATCACGCAGTTCGAGTCCAAGCGGGGAGACAATATATACTCTAAATATATATATAATTGTGAGATAAAGTTTTCATTCATTTTTTCTGGTATGCTTTGACAATATTCGACCCAGCAAATAATTCGACTTTCTTATTGTCAGTAATTATATTTTTTTTCATTTATGCACCTACCGAAGGAATGCATACTATTAAAATCTTATAATAATAGTATTATATTTTAAATAAATAAAAGTTTTTCCATAACGAAAATTAAAGTTTGAATCTATCTATTATGATAAAAACTACAGCGCGACTTTCTACGAACTATATGGAATCAAATCTCTTAAAATGTCGACCAATACCATTACAAGACTCACGTTATTACAGTCGTTCTAAGAATTATTGAACCCTCTGGGGATTTGAATTGGGTTTTTGACGAAAAATACCTATTATAAAAATGAAAAATTACGTTGTTTTCTTATCTCCGAACGTTGACATTTTTTTTTTACCTTCAACGAGGTACTATTTATTGGTATGAAAAATAACTTTTATTAGCGGTATAATATTATGTGTCTTAGAATTCGTTGGCCAATCATCAAGAATACACTGATTCCGTCGTTTTATAAAAAAAAAGGTACCTATACTTCCTAGCAATAATCAAATTGAATGAACATTTATCGAAATCAAGAACGGAATATTCTTGTAGCGATTGGGGTATGAAAAACTGTAAACGCTAATTTTTCAAATTTCGCGTACACGAATAATAAATGCTGTAAATGTGTGGGTACAGTGCTTATCTCTAAATTATTTGTGATGATATCTAATTATATTTTTTAATAAATATTTATCATATCACGATGGTACAATTATACAATAGTATAGTTCAAGTAAAAATGTGTAAAAACAAAATGACCAAAAACTTAAAATCGTATCTGCAGACTCACCTGAGGGTAAAGTCGCACGGCCCTCCTGTAGTACGTTTCCGAGTCGGACGTCCGGCCTATCTTGCGAAGCATCGTGGCCGTCTTGACCACGATCTCGTGGTCATCGGAAGCCAGCGCCGCAGCTGCCTCGTATTGTTCCACCGCATCGTCTAGCCTGCCAACGGAAGACAGGAAATCAGCGTACCTGGTCCGCACCATCGGGTCGTCTGGGGCAGTCCGGTGTGCTTTGCCGTACCATTCTTCCGCCTCGGACACTCTTGAACGCTGCCACAACAATAATTATTACATTTTATATGCAATCGCGTCTTATATGTACGTATATATATATATATATTATATAGGATGTGATAAATATTATTTAAATTTAAAATATAGAGCTTGCTGCGGAAAAATGATTTTCGAATGCATAATATACAAGGGTTGTGGTGTGTGTATTGTCTTAAATTGTTATCAGAACAATAGCATATGCTTGTAGTTAACATCAACGATTTTAATTTCAAACGTATTCAATAACACTACCTCATCTATATACCTACGAAAACTAACGGTGATTTGATTTTTAGAACCGACCACCGGTATATTGAATGTAGTGGGCATAATAATATATCGATATACACGTGTGACCAGTATCTACGAATTTATGAAATATTCATACTTTAGTGATATATCCTTATTAATTCCTGAACAGGCTGTAGTCATTTAGATACCTAAACTTGACCGGCACCTATATAATAAATACACATAGTTATTATGGTATGGAAATTAATACTATAATGTCTAGTGCATGAAACATTTGATATTATTGAATTTTTTTACGTATTATTTACTAATAAATGTATTTAAATTACATAGAAATTACTATAAATTTAAAAATATACTATATGCATGATGCATGAATAAAGAAAATATTACTTAATGGATACCCCGTTTCCATCTTTGAGGTTTTTGTCCGAGAAACAGATGTTATATCTTACATCGATCGAAGAAACATTTAAAATAATGAAAAAATTCCAATGTCCATGAAAAACATCAGCTATTTTTAATATTAGTTCACGTCGTAACTAGTATGATTATATAGGTAAATATTTTATGAATATTTCAAATTTCTACAGTGGTACTTTTTTGAATTACGAAAAAAACAACATATATTATGTGAAATCGAAAAGTACCAATAATTCCTAAAATAATAGCTGGTGTCATCTTAATACTTCTAAAAGTTGAAAATACAATAATATATGACATATATATGTATATATAATATTAAAACACGATAAAAGCATTTACACGGCGTCGAGATAATAGAAAGTATACAGTAACACTTATATTATTTTATTATTATCAGTAGACATGTCGAAACAAAATAATATAATACGCAATGTACGGCGTACACGACCACGACTACTCGCGACCTACCCTAAACCGTATTGTAGTGAGTTTGCGGGTAGCTAAAGTACGACGCTCGTCGCCCTTAACAACGTGATTGTGTGTACGTACACGCTGTACAGAAAACGAGTCGTGCTGGGAAAAATTAATTTAACTTAAATTTTCTAATTTGCTAATTTGAACAAACAAAAAACTATAATATAAATGGCGTAAAAGAAAAGGGCTCCAGGAATTCCGCACTAATTCAACGACGTTGCAGTTTAAGACTATATTAGATTATATAACCAGAGTTAATTTTTCTTATTTTCTATGAACAAAAGTAAGAAAATTTTATTAATTGTAATTAAAATTAAAATTCAATTAAACTCATAATACTTTAATTCTCTATTTTTTCCATCCTGCAACAAGGATTCGCCATATTACATTACGCATTTTTAATGAATTTTCTACTCGTAGAAAAGCCTACTACTAGAAGAGACCTTCTAACCTCTTGTGTCATTATTTAAAATAAAATACAGGTATAGAGTTGGTAGGTTTTAAATTAAAACTCACGATGTAATATCTGATCGGATAGACTCACAATAATTACGCTAAAGCTTAAAATGCTAACTGTAATATTTTTTGTTCATCGATAATTGATAAACCAAATTATTATTCGTGTCGTATTATAAACGTCGTAGAACCTTATGTATTTAGATCTTCCTGTCTAAACGTTTATAAATAAAATATATATTAGTACCAATACTAGGTAGGTACCTATACTTAAACTGCATTAGGTATGTAATATCAGATTATTACAATAAATATACAATATACATGTACTATGAATAATATAGTTAAAAAAGATGGCAATATCGTGTTGTATAGAATTATTATGAATACTTGAAAAATAATTTTTTTCTTGTTCGAAGAAAGATTAAACAACATTAAGCAAATATTATTTAAGCAAAAAATAAGSTCATTTTCAAATTTCATTGTGGCATAATAAAATATAACAATAATGATAAATATTAAATAATATATATTATCATATACGCATTAACTGTGAACATATAAACATAATAAAMACAAACACACACACACACACATGTATATATTTACGAACGATGTATTATTATTATATTATAATTTATAATATATGCATGCGTATAATGTATAAGATCAAAATCGATGGCGGCGTTGAATTTAATTAAAACCATTACACCGGCGGTATAATCGGCTTACACCGAATATACACCGAGCGCACGTTAATAAATTTTGTATTTACCGCTGTTGAAGGAACTAGCCAGCGCTCAGGGAGCCAACATTATCATTATTATTAGTATCATATAGTCAAGAAGTCGGGCGAAGACTATATAATCTACAGGAATGCATATTGTGTTTGCGAGCATTACAATATAATATAATAATATTATGCTGCGCTGTATACATTATACGCGTAATTTAAGTACACAATATATATGATATTAATGTATTGTATTATGTATAAGAACTAAGCAACAATGTATCKGCTGGTCTGCAAGACGTATTCCCGTCATGGAGGTTCAACAATATAACGTATACAATACAAATCGTTTGAAAAAGGATTAATAACGAATATGTATAACGTAAACGCGAGCAAAAAATAATATAAAAAAGTGTACCTTTTAAAATTAAATAAATGTATACGACTGACACGAAGTCTTTAATAGTAGAGATGAACAATTTCTATTTTTTGTTAATTGTCGAAAAACTGGTAATAGTTATTTCGAAAAAAAACATAAGATACAAGATGATTATTTCAGAGCAATCGTTCATAATCTTGAAGAGAGTTAACGTATTTGGAAACATTTTTTTTTTTGAAAGTTTATATTATAACGTATGACTTCATTGCAAAAAAAATGATCTGGTACTATTTTTTTTATTTTTGAAATTTTTTGAGTTTGTTTCTTTTTGAATGACAGCATAAACTTTTAATTTTATATTTGAGTGGAGTGGCGTAGGGGTTAGGAGAATATTTGGTCCACCACTTCATTTATATGAACTTTAAATATTAATTACTTACAATACCTAACTAATTCAAATAATTACTAGAACTATTGTTTTTTGAAGAATATGATATTAAAACGGAATGCCGTCCCTCAAAAAGTTAAGTCTTTAAAAAATATAACTCTTTAAAAAAATTATTGTTTTTTATTAAAGAATAATAAAGCTCGTGCTAAAATTTACTTTCTAAAATGTTGATATTTTTTTGAGAATATCGGTGTTTACCTTTAGAAGAATTACAGCTTGTTTTAGGCATTTTTAATTTTCCATAAAATGTGGTCATGCTGAGTATTTTATATTATACTATTATGGTTAAGGGTTAACTATTCGACTGAAGATCATGGGAGAAAAATGTCAGGTGAGAGATGAGCGTCTTGATGTCTGTAACCAGCAGCGACGTCAAATCTTTAAACCGGTTAAAATACTTCACACATGTCGAGTGCGGAAACTGCAGTTTCAATTTAAAGTGGAAAGTTTATAAAATTTGCGATGTTTGGAGAGCTTATTTTTATCTGAACTATATACATAGCTATAAGCTATATATAACCATTATAACCTATATTATGTGTCTGCAGGTGGTAAGTTACGGCTGGAAACGAATTAAACGAATACACGTCGGTGAAATTCAATCCGTGAAAGGGGCGCGGGGAGGGTTGATAAATCGAACGATGCTCGAAGTACCATTATATATTGGCGCATACCGCGGTATCTGTGTACGTATATGATATATATAAAATGCCGAGTCGAAAACCTTCTCCACACCATAGCTATACAGCAGCCGTGTGTTTCGAGTGTATTGAATCTCACACGTGTGTGCGTAATGTGTATAAATGTGTTAGAAAAAAACTCTGAGCAATTACGTTTTTGGCCAAGAGATCGCCGTACGTCAGGAAGGCGGACACGTCTGTTGGGTTGACCCGGAGCAGTTGCCTGTAGTAGAGCTCGGCTTCCGCGTCTCTGCCAAGCGCCGACAGGGAGTCTGCCAAGGCGTACAGCATTGTCTGAAATCAAATATCATAAATTTAGTTCTGTGTAATGTATATTTATACATGACTGCAGCGATGACAATAGAAAAATACCCGAGAGTATATTAGTCAAAAATCAAAATGTATTGTACTGTGCAGGTACTATTATATATTATATTATTATAACTTTGGAAACCATCGTTCGATTACAATGTACTCGGCTTTGTATAATTAAATCGGCACAACGCATCATGGACTGTGATTGATGCAGTATAACATGTGATATAATTTATCGATCGACGTTATTTAGGAGTGATAGATGCATAATATCATTGATTATATACACTAGGTATAGTAGTACACTAGTACTTAAAAAATTAATAACATGGGTGTAGGTATTATATACAGTAGTTAATTAAATAATAGTGTTGCCAATTGTCGTATACGCCGATGAACTTCAAACGTACACAAATAAACGAACCAATAATATGACGAKCACATTTTACTCACAAACGTCTAGTGTTACCTAAATCGAGTAACACGACCACCAAATTCTGATTATAATTCAGCTTTTGACGTAGGTACACTATTTAAACACGCACAATAATTATTAAAAGGTGACACTTTGTTTACAATTTTGTCCATCAGTGTCACAGTGACCACATCAAGTGATCACCATTGAAGGACCCCCGTCTTTCTAGTCCTATTCGTTATATTATAATAATGTATATTATTGCTTAACCTAGTTACTTATATTTTGCTACACGTGCTAAGACTTACTTAATACTAAATGTTGTTGCTTATTACATATTATATGTTTATTTACCTAGTTCATAGTTTTAATATTAACAATTGATTTATCATGTTATGACGTATGATACAACACAACAATTTAATAATGTTATAACTGCACAATATACTAGTTAGGCACCTATCTTTATATTTATATTATTATGTACATATTATAATTAAGTATATAATATTCTAAGAATACAGACTCTTAAAATATAAACCTATAAACAAGTTTTTACCACTCCCTAAATAAAATTTTGACTTTTGAGTAAAATAATATTATACACGCACGAGTATAATATATAAAGACTCGGTAAAATAATGCACGCTAACATATTATATTATTAACTTCACGTTAGGCATCAGTAATTATTGATATTAAAATTTAAATATATATCGAATTACGTGATGCTCATAGCTCGTAATAGGAAAGTTTCTATTGATGATTTGTCTATAGCATACATTGTAAAACCAAATTATGTTATCCGGCCACAAGTGGATACATATTTGCATACGAATAACTAATAAGGGTTAATTGGTATGTACAATTTTGTTAAGTTGTCATTTGCACAACAGTATTAATGTAAAATGTGTTTAAACCATGTTATGAAAACTAAAACTAAATTGTTACATATAATATTATTTTATGCAGAGGAATGCCACAGCGTTTTACATGATTTTAATTGTTTTTTAAATTCCAGTATGCTGTATGTATTTGTTTCCCTTTTCATATTCATTTTAACGTTATTATTATTATTATTATTTACAAAAGCATATCCTTATATTAATGTTCGACATAATCCGAATGGATTTACAACATTTTTTTACAGTAAAAAACCACGTAAAAGAACGTAGGTATACATAATATTATTATTTATTTAAAACAAATACCTATCACTTTAAACCTTTAAAAAAATAATTAATTAAAAGATAATATTAATATATATATATATATTATATATATATACATAATATATAGATGAAATGAAGATTATAATATAATACTATTAAATATATATATAGTACATTAGTACATATATAATATAATGTTAAACCTTTTACAAAAATAATTAATTAAAAAAAAAAATAGAAATGTGAAATGTATTTATGTATAGCATCAACTTTAATAATCCAGTTCTGTGTCGTCCACCATCGAGCACGCACGTTCACTACGTCGGGCATGTAATTACTATCAGTTATATTATATTTCAATTATGTTCACGTGGTTAGCCCGATAATATGCAGACCCGTCTGTCATGTCCCGCTCCACTACACAGAAGTCAATCAAATAGATTTTGTCGAGGTACTCCTTTTCGTCAAATCTCGATACAAGTCTTATAATGTGACATCAAATCGGTTCACTCCCATCTCCGTGGTTGACAACCTCCCGAGGTTTTTAGTTCCCCTCCTGCCACAATCTCACCTTCGGCTCAACATGAACCTATAGTACACCACCATCAAAACATCCCGGTGATGGACAAGTCGAGGTTACGAACATGCCAGCATCGTCAATTGTAATAAGTAATGTTACTATATAACTACTCCTCGTTGCAAAAAGCAGATTTTATATCTCTGGTGAGAACTGATAGCCTTAGGGCTACCGCCAAGGGTTCCTCTCTAATTATCAAACCTCGTAATTTTGATAGTTACAGTAAACTTGTCCATTACAGCAACGACTTGGATTTAGAATGCCATACGTGGGCACCGTGTCATATCCGCTCTTTTCAAAGCGTTTATCTGCAATCTGCACCATACTATTCTTGTTGAAGATATTATAAAGAAGGCCCTCTGGGATTTGGGCTTCTTTATCATAAGTTTGCCAAACGTCCGCCACCGAATTAGCAAACAGACTCTACCACTATTCACCGTAGTTGTACTAGAAGCAATGGATTTTAGCCGGAGCATCTTCCAATTATTCTCCCTCCTTAACTTCAAAATAGTTGTAGAAAAACCGCATCAATGTGCGTTATGTTCTGGCGCACATACCGTGAACTATAAAGGTTGTCCTCCATTAAAGAAATTTTTGAACACTTATCATGAGAATCATAAGAATGGCCACCTCAAGACCACGCGCAATCTGTACCACCATTAGTGTCCTCAAAGGTGATCTTGCCAGTCATAGTGGAGCCCCAGTCCACGCACACCCGATACAAAGAAAAATCCAGGGCCAAGACATACGCAGAAGCAACTTCAAGCAACTCAGACATTTCTAAAATAATGAATCTGTATCAAATATTTTATCTYAATTTGTTACACAATTAAATTCCCTCATTACCTTATTAATTTCACTTTTATCCACATTCTTAAACTTATTACTATCTAAGAATACCGTATCTCCTTAATTATATCTCCCCTGAATCCAAAATCATAATCATTATTTTCACATTAATAATCTTTTGTATACTTATCATTTAATCGCCAMCAATTTCTACTGCTTGTATATTAATTTAATTTTTAATTGTCTTGTGTAATCACTATCTGTAATTATTGTTGAACTGTAATAGTTACTAACTTATAACGGTTCTAACAAAAAAAAAAAACTTTAATAATGTCGCCAATAATAATAAAATAAACTACTACAGACTGACCGTTATTGACATATTTTTCCCCTCTTCTCGTAAGGTAATTACTCTTTATAATAATATATCCCAGTCACTCAAATAAGTAATTACTTTAATAATTGAGGTTTCTATAGTTTTGACATAATATTATATATGTGTCCTATATTGCAGTTTTATACGGTTTAATAATAATTATTAGAAATCGATCATTCTATTAGGAAAAAAGGTTAATATTGTGATATATAGGTATAAAAAGAGATAGGAAATAACAATGTCCAATAATAGGCATGATTCACATAAGTGGTATACACCATACTATAGTATATTGTAAACTGTACTCGTATACACCTACACAATAGTTTCATATTACCTACTTACCAAAATGTTATAAAATGATTAAAATTGAATATAATTAAATTAAATTATATAATAACGTATTGTTTTTAAATATTTAAATTCAAAGACGAATACAAACCAATCGTGTAAAATGTATGATTTCATAACTAATCTAATACAATTTATTCCTTATAGCTTTAACATATTAAATCGCATAATAAATCGAACAAATACTTTTGACAGGGGGACCAATTACGCTCGTTTATATTTAAAAATATAATGTATTATATAGGTACATATAATATATTATATATTCAGAACAAAATCTACACCTTACAATACCACAATAACATCAAAATCAAACTCTTTTGGATCCCCGGACATTCTAACATTAAAGAAAATGAACTCGCTGATCTCGCCGCCAAAAATGCTATCACATCACCTATATCATGGTCCATAAAAATCTTTTCTTCCAGTGACATACGAATACTTATAATAAAAGAATGTCAACAAAGATGGCATCAAAAGTGGACATCGTATTACACAAAATTAAACCACATAAAAAATAACAGTGACAATTGGACATTTCCCTTCGAAATCCATAGAAWATTCGAAGTAATAATAACCAGACTGAGAATAGGACACACAAAAATCTCCCACAGTTTTCTAATGTCCAGGGAAGAACCTCCAATATGCACAACCTGCGGTGTTCAAGTAACCATTAAACACGTCCTCACCGATTGCCGAACATACTCAGTACCCGTACAAGCTTCAACCTACCCGAATCATCACTTTCAGAAATATTGAACAACAATCCTCAATCCATTACCAACCATACAATTCATCACAGCCGCCAATCTTCTAACCAAAATTTAGATTAATTTAGATATAGATACAATTCATGAAATTTTTTTTCTCTTTATATATATTTCTCACTTTAAACCCAATGGGCCATGTTGTCGATTAAAAAAAAAAAAATATATACATATATATATATATTATATAATAATATATTACATACCTATATATTATGAATAAGTGTAATTTTATATTTTTTGTTGGAATGCAATACCGTGGTTATATAATTATTATAGTTTATGTATAACATTCAACATCAACAATAATATGATGATGTATGTATATTATATTATGTACCGTTGTTGATGTCATTAAAAAATATCGACTTGTCATGTTTTATGATCCACATTTACCTTTGAAAATCAATGTACCTACTTGATTTCATACGAAAGTTGAACAAGGTTATTGTTGTCCGGTATTAGTCCTTAATATCATAATCAGTTATAGAAAATATCATTGTTATTCCAATTCCATAATATTTAATAACTA